GTAGGCATCTCAAGAACTTCAGACCACCTCCGTATCTCCACATTTATCAGCTCCCCATGACTTCTGGTGACCCCAGTTGACTGGTGGCATCTCCAGAACCTCATCCCACCACCACATCTCCATCCCCAGTAGCTCCCCATGCCCCCACGTCCCTGGAGGCCCCCACCCCACCCCACATCTCAGTTGAGGAACCTCCGGCAGCGCTTGGCCCCGCAGTTGTAGGGCAGTTTTTGGCTGGTGGCATCTCCAGAACCTCATCCCACCACCACATCTCCATCTCTATGACCCCTGGAGGCCCCCACCCCACCCCACATCTCAGTTGAGGAACCTCCGGCAGCGCTTGGCCCCGCAGTTGTAGGGCAGTTTTTGGCTGGTGGCATCTCCAGAACCTCATCCCACCACCACATCTCCATCTCTATGACCCCTGGAGGCCCCCACCCCAGCCCACATCTCAGTTGAGGAACCTCCGGCAGCGCTTGGCCCCGCAGTTGTAGGGCAGTTTTTGGCTGGTGGCATCTCCAGAGCTTCAGGCCACCTCTGTATCTCCAGTTGGCTGTAAACATCTCAAGAACTTCAGACCACCTCTGTATCTCCACATTTATGAGCTCCCCATGACTTCTGGTGACCCCAGTTGACTGGTGGCATCTCCAGAACCTCATCCCACCACCACATCTCCATCTCTATGACCCATGGAGGCCCCCACCCCACCCCACATCTCAGTTGAGGAACCTCCGGCAGCGCTTGGCCCCGCAGTTGCAGGGCAGTTTGGCGGCGGGCTCCTCGATGGGGAACTTGTAGTCGTAGGTGAGCTCCTCGCCGCGCAGGATGCGGCGCAGGGCGAAGATGACGATGTGTTTGTGTCCCTCCACCTGGATGACCCGCGAGTAGCAGTTGGGCTCGCACGAGTGGTTGATGAAGCGCGCGGCGCTGCCGTGCATCGTGGCGTCCACCACCTCGGCGTCGTCGATCCGGAACATGTAGCACCCGATCCCCTGGGGGAGCAAGGAGGGGGGGTGGGGGGGGGACAATGGTCATGGGGATGGGCATGGAGATGGGGA